ATCAAATTATCTATCTATCAAATTATCTATCTATCTATCTATCTATCTATCTATCTAATATATCTATCTAATATATCTATCTAATCTATCTATCTAATCTATCTATCTAATCTATCTATCTATCTATCTATCTCTCTCTCTCTCTCTGCATGTATATATATATATGTATCTATATACACATGTATGCATGCAATTGTAGATTTTCATGTAAATATCTTTAATACACCAATGTATAATACAGATGTATGTATATTTTATATATATATATATGTATGTATATGTATACATATATGGATGATACATATAACACATACACACAGAGATTGTGTATATATTTGTATATACAGTAGATATGTATAAATACAACATACGTGCGTGTATTATACATATGTATATATATATATATGTATATACACGTTTTTCTATCTTAATATTCTTAATATATATATATACACATCCATATGATTTTATATTTGCATGCATGTTTGAATGCATATCCGCATTTACATAGATACCTGAACATCTTCCAAACAATAACTCATATTGCTCAGTGTCTGATTTTGATTTCAAATCTGCTGAGGTCCTGAGACCTTTGTCCCCAGCAGCGACCACAATCGTGGCCCTGTCTGCAGTGGTGGGGCTCACAAGCTGTGACGCTCTGATGCAGACACAAAAATGGATTGAAATGTAATTTGCCAATTAACCCAAGAATTCTGTCGTCTGTTGAGAATTTTTTGTCCACTTTTTTCCGCACTTGACTGCCCTCATGGTACGGAGGTCTTTACTGGGACAGCTACACTTGCACAGGCGCTGAAGGCCTTCACTGAGGAGGCACCTGCGCTTGTCAGTGCCTACCTACACATGGCATGTTCATTGTGGCATTGTGAACTTCGCAGGTGGTTTGGCTGGTCCTGATTGCTTTCTTTCTTGCTGAAGGCTTCCACAAGCCAGTATCCCAGGAGATCCCAACAGATTTGAGAGCATTTTGCAAATTCTGCCAACCAGCATTCTGCATCATTTTACAACAGACCCTTCTTCAAATGCCTTGAGCAGAGTCGACTCCAAGGACTGGTTTGGGCGATCGCATTGCCTTGAATGTGATTCGGATAGTTGGTGGAACGACGAACTGCACTTAGAATCTGGTGCTCCATGTGTTGTCTAGAGATGTCTAGGAGGTGTTTAGAGCAGCACACCTTCATACACACACACACAGACACACACACACACGTAGACATACTACTTATTGGATTTTGGAATCAAGCGGCGCGTGTTTTTATGAATCATTCTTGTAGCAATTCTGCATGTTGAACTTGGGTGAACATGGAGGATGAACGTTGTCTGAGTCTAAGGCTGGGGCTTGCATACGGCTTGAACTTTGCTGAGCTCGTAGTTGCGGCTGCTATGCCTTGTTCTGCAGCCAGGGTCCGGTCCAAAGTTTGCAATCTCAATGCAGCTGCTTTCATCTGGTTCAGCTAATCCATACTTGGAGCAGAACATCGCCCTACTGAAATTCAAATAGATGAAATTCGATATGACCCAACCTTCCCTGCTGTCCAATCTCGTTCTGGTGATTATCTTCCATAATTCAAGAGCTTGCTATGGAGATCATGGAGGCCAAGCATGGCCAATCTGTCAAAGGGTTCGAATCTGTTTTGGTGAAGCGCACGATACATTTAGGCTGCAGCGATGTTCTATCCAATTACAAAATCTGTGCACGACTCAGACTGACAACCTACTCGTTCGCCAAGTCTTGACTTGACTACTGGAAACCTTCAAGCATTAAATTGGATTGTCTCAAAGGCAACATGTTTGAATATTTCTGTGCAAAACAAAGTGCGCGAAGCGTTTTGATGTTGTATTCTTTGAGAAGGTTGAGAAACCTTGTGCTTGATGCCGACTTGCTGGCTCAGCTACCCCTCCTGGTCTTGACACACAGGTGTGCAAAGCCAGTGGATCTGACCCTAATGAGGCCAGGTCTGGATAGTGAAAATTGGCTAGCGAAAAGTTGACATTAAAGCAGCCAGTCCTCAGGGAACGGAGTCCAAGTGCGGCAAATTCCTGGTGGAGTGCTGCTACCAGGCCAGTCACACATCCGTTTGAATTTTGTTTGCGCTCAAAGCCTCTCAGCTTCTTTGGAGGCAACTGCAACGTCGTCGTGCATGTTCCTCACGGGTGCTGCGCAAAACTACTTTGTGCTGAAATTGGCCGATGATGTAAGACACCTAGATGTGTGTCACATCAAATCTGATGACTTTAGCGTTGCCTCAGACAAGTTTTTCCGCCCACAAGGTTGGCATCCATTTGGATCATCCTTTTCATACTTGGTTTGCAGCAGCTGTAGTTCCAGCCCGGGCCCAAGCAGGACCTGTCATTTACCCACCTGCCTTGTTTGGCGTTCCCGTTTTCAAGCCCAACGTGGCCAATCCCAACGCTAGGCCTTCGTGTCCTTCTTGCTGACACCACTTGTGGCTCTGAAGCTCATGCCACCAGAGTCACGAACAACATCTGACGCACCGAAGGCCTGGTTTTTCAATTGGCAAGTGCTTCTAAATCTATGGAAGACTCAACGCGTTGCCTGTCGCTTGAGGTTGCGAAGCAGCGGCTGGATGAAATGGGTCCCATATCGGATGACGAGAAAGTCTTTCTCTTCGTTATGCTTGGTAGCTCGACAAATCCGTCACAAAACAAAACAGTGTACACGCCCAGTTGGAGATCTAGTGTAAAACAGTCAGAAATTGGACCCCTAATCAATATATCACCAATTATTTCGCACACAGTTTAAGCAAATAGATTTCTCTCCTCTAGCTCTTGCTTGGAATGTCCTGATTCGGGAACTGCTCAAAAATCTTGAACCTCAAAAACGATTTGTGAAAAACACAGCTCGACCAAACCAAGCACACGCGTGGTCCCCCTGGCAGCTTTGGCACCTTTCTGATGTCTCGAACTGTCTCGATACGGTGACCACAGCAATGGCACTTTGCCAAGACTTTGCCAAGACGAACGGTCTCCCCTTGCAACTTCCAATGACCTGCTCTCATGTGACTCACCTGATCTCACCGGACTCACTGAAGGGGATCCATGCATTGCCCTGACCCTCCATTCTTCACACCCAACACAGACATCCATCCGGTGCAAAAAAAGGTGGGTCACAGATACTATTGGTACTATTGTCTCCTGATCAAAAGGTTTTTACATTCTGGTCTAGCATTGTTTTCACTGGGAAAGACGTGGTGACTTGTTTCCCATCAGTCTAGTGACTTGAACAAAATGCTCCGTCTTTGGTTTGAGTTTGAGCTTGTTTGATTTGGTTTGGAACCTGTTACTCAGGCATGGTAGTCCTGTGGGCTTCGTCGTCCTTGATTCACGTGAAACCTGCGATCACAGCCTTTTGCGGCCTTGGGATTCTTCTGTTGACCGGCGTCATCACATGGGAGGACCCTAGACTTAGACTGCCAATGTGGTTTCCGCTCACCTGCAATTCATCCTAGGTGCAACACAAAGCATTTGAACTCAATTCTGGGAACACATCCACCACAGCATGTCAACTATTCAATGCAACGTGCGTTGCCTGCAGGATTGCGCAAAGAATCAACAAGCGTGGAGCACTTTTGTATCCTTTGCAACTTTGGTTGGCCAGATCCTTGGAATCGCTGTGCTTTCCGGAGCTCAAACGAGATGGATTGTGAGGCTTAGCTGAGATGCTAAAGATCCTTGGCATTGTTGAGCTCAGTCCTTAGACTTGAAAGGAAAGATGGACAAATTCTGAGACAAAGCGAAGGAACATCAAACACCAAAAAAACGAAGAAACGCAAAGAAACAAGGAGCCTCACAGAGGGTGAAAGAACGCAAGGAAGACTACTTGGCTCTAAAGACAAACAACTTTGCGCACAAGACGAGCCAGAGCACCATTTGGGCATATTTGGAGAACTCCTGCAAATTCTCTTGCACAAGTGTGAGGTGGTTGTCGTCGGTGGTAACGCCTGGAACCAAAGGACAGCTCTCACTCTCGGCACTCTCGCGTTGTTTCTGGACGTACATTTACATAATAGTCTGGACTTCAAAACCTTGGACAGTATCAGTAGCAGTTCTCAATTCTCCATTGCTAAGAGGGCTCAAAGAGCCAGTCTCAATGAGGTTCTTGAGTGGGTGTCAACAGCATCAAGGTTTATGTATTTCATGTCTCCAGAAAGCAGAGAAGGGGTTCAATTCAGAGAAACACTGCCATGCCATGCGATCAAATTATATTACGTCACTTAAATACTATCTTATACTTATTTATACTTGCATGTTTACTACAATTCCGAGCTGGTGTTAGCCGTGCGGGAGTCTGAGGTCAAAAATCAGAGCTGCAGGACTGGCACAGGCGCAGATACAGACTATCATTTTTTTTGCGGGGATTTCATTATGTTCATTCATTTCTGTGATAAGATGTGCCAAGATGTGACAAGTCATACAAGTCGTAGTCATGTCGTAGTCATGTCGTAGTCATGTCGTAGTCATGTCGTAGTCATGTCGTAGTCTGTCGTAGTCATGTCGTAGTCATGTCGTAGTCGTCATGGGTCTTAGGTCTTGACACTCTTGACCAGCGCTGAGGTACCGGCCTTCCTGGTCATCATCACTTCGTACTGGCTAATTCATTATCTCTTTGCCTCACAGGAGATCCCGGCCTGTTGGAAAAACATGGAAAAACTGTAGGCATCAGCCTGCGTGCTCCATGGCAATGATCATGGAGGATGTACGGATGTGAACATATACATTTGGATTATACATATAATTACAGACATGTACACACAGATATATATATATATGTATAATGTTATATAATCAATCTAATGTGATATGATGTAATTATTATATGATATGATAAATATGATATGATGTGATATGGTATGATTTGATATGATATGATATGATGTGGTATAACGTAATGTAATATAGTATACTAGAATATAGCATAGTATACTATGGTCTAGTATATACATATTATATGTAATGAATATATGATTAGATATGTATATACTAAAATATAATAATGATGAAAATAGAAATAATATCAATGCGTGCACACACACACATATATATATACATACACATACACACACACAGACACACATATATATATATATTATGTAAATACGGATCATTGCTGATCTATTGTTTCGTGTGGACAAAATCCTTCCTGGCAGTGTCAAACCCTTCGCAGCTTTGACAGGTGGCACATGTATCTGCTTTGTTCCAACCATTTTTGGTTATGCTGGTGGCTGCCTCAGCGAAGGCAGCTTTGCACAACATTGTGCAAAGTTACACTCGCATGAAATCTTTTGAGGTAGAAACGGGAACTCCAAAGATTCCAGCCTTGTTTGCACTGGCCTTCGTGTCTAATCTCTTTGCTACTTTGACTCCATATGTCGGGCCCTCGGACACTAAAACTTTCGGAGATTTGAGGGTGTGCGTGCGAGTTTCTCTGATTTCATGATTTGCTGTGGCTTAGTCATTGCTTCTTGTCGTGCCAAGGCCTCTGCTCAGTCAGCAGTTCTCTTTGCTGGACATTACATAACTCCGGTAGAATGGTACAAGGCGGGTGTCTCTCAACCTGACGAGTTTGCAGAATCCCATGAGACCGTCATGAGAGCATGTGAGTTCTATGTGAGTCTGGCTTGGAAGAAATTGGCCCCAGGCTGGCTTTGTTTTCATGCTCGCCTACTACATAGAATGGCTCGTAGTCGGTGCCATCCTCAAGAGTAATGCAGTCAATTGTATACAAACGAGGAAATAAGAAACCCACTTCAGTCCGTGTCCGTTGTCATGTTTTCATTATTGCCACGCGCAAGAGCAAGATGACGAGCTAAAAGGAGAGCGTACGAGAGCAATCCATTTCGAAGCTGCTAGAGCGTACAAGATGGTATTAACGACCAGAGAAAAGCGATCTGGCCAGTGACCAAAGAGTGCAAGAGTTCGATTAATGTTTGTTTTGTCTCCGGCTCCGAGAAAGTCTGCTTGAGACATGCAAAATGACATTAAACAATGTTCAACCAACGCAGCATGTTTGGAACTGCTTCAAAGCAATTCAAGCTAGACAATGACTTGCTTTGGGCATGCACAGAGTACGAACCGCAGCCGAGTAAAATCACCTGACACCACAAATTGTCCACTTGACCCAGTGCCCATCACATGTACATCATGTACCATCTAATGAAATGAAATTGCTGACCTTGTCATCCAAGCGCAGCTGCCAAGGTGCTGCATGGTGGTGTCTGATTGGGCTTGTTTGACTGAAAATACGGTCTCAAGTCATACCAGTCATACCATCACCACCAGCAGTCAAATCTTTTCCGGATGAGCGAAATCGCGGGTGCCGGGCGCAAAGAGCTGCACGTCCGTCGAGTCCGTTGAGATCCTGCGATCCTTTAGATCCTTGCTGGCTTAATGTGGTCAGCGAAAGTCCGACCCATTCCATGTCTATGGCCTTTGTCTCATTAGCATGGAAAGGGAAATACGCAAAGGAAGATGAGAAAAGAAATGGCGAGTTCTTCAGCGGTCTTTTTTGCATGTCTTTCCCACACTAGGGCACTACACCCCTGCTTGAGATGTGCAACTAGCCGCTAACTCATCTGACCCAAGAAACATCTCTGAAGGACCCTGGCATCAGGTCAAACTCTCTGGACCTCATGTGCTTAGCAGATCAGCTTGGCGTCCCGTCCTTGCAGCCTGTTTTGATTCGGGCCTGGGTGCGGGGACCGTGATACAGAGGAGCTAGGAAAAGGAAGACGCGACGAGGCAGAAAGAAGAGGTAGGCGGTAGAAATAGTATGACATGGTCGCAATCTTCAGCCTTTCTGTACACAGTGTGCAACTTGTATTGCATCAAATGTCAGCTGCCAGGCGACTGTTTGAATTTGCTCAGCTTTGGGTTGCCAATCAACAGGACCTTCCTGACGTGAGTGCATTGTGCAATGCCTGATCTTTAAATATCAAGACCCGCTGAATATGTATATGATTGTGATTGATTGTATATGTATGGATGGTGATGGTGCTGTCTCAATCTTTCTTCTTGTCTGCTTCTACAGTACTACTTGCCTTCTCTCTGCACATTAAATGCATCAAGAATCAAGCCATCATGACATTCTATGAATTTGGAAGCATGCCTTTGAGTAATATGCAACAGCCATCAAGCACTTAGATTTCACCCGTGCAGTATACCATGATTGTTGGACCATGTCATGCTGATTCTGCAAAAATGGCTTAACTGAAGAAACCATCCGATATAGCTAAATTCTATCCCGGCATCATCATTTGCAGCAATTCGTAGAGAAGGACAAACAAAGATATTCACCATATTTAGTCATTATTCGTTCAATGCCCTTTCATGTTGCTTGGTTCCTGTGCTTTCATTTGACTGCAATGTGACCTCACTTTCAAGAGCGTACTGATGGCTTAGCCATTTGGTCGCAGCCTCAAGAAATCCATAGAGCGTTCTGACTTCATACAGCATTTTGAAAACCACTCTGCTGATGTCGAAGTGCCTGGCCTTTAAGGTCCTACTCGAATGGGTCACCACTTTTCTTCGCTTTCCAGGTCTTCCTCAATGAGAACAGGGGGGCGTGCAGGGTCAAAGTACCTTCTCGGTGTTGCATGAGTTGAATTGAATTGAGTTGAATTGAACTATCATGTAATCTAAAAGTCCAAGGCTGAATTTGTTTGTTGGGAGCATGCCTGGCCATTGCTTGGCTTGCAATCAACGTGAGGGTGCGTGATTAATAAACCGTGATAGTATTCGCATTTTTGCAGCATTTAGCTTCGTGTTACATATCAGAACCAGCCGGACAGTCTTGGCAGCCTCGTCTGACAATTCAGGTGTGCATGTGGACCTGGGACCCCTGGAGAGTTCGAGTTTCTACCTGGATACACAAGGCGTGCGAAGAGTGTTCACATTGCCATTCATTTCAGTAGATTGAGCAAATTCAAGTCGTTTGTCGAAGTTTGAAAGTCTGGAAGAGACAGAGAGGACCCGCTCTTCATCCTCAAGAGAGTCCAAAAGCCGCAAGGGTGCACTTAGCGGCGATGAGGCAGGAACATGTGACTGTTGCAGGAAACATGATATTCTTTAAATATAGTTCTTTTGGGCAAAGCTAATCGGTTGGTAAGCTATAAGATCTATAAAAGATGCCACAGCAACAGTCACCGAGTTTGTTGATTGCTTTCCCCCTGACGCAGGCTCTGGCGGCGCGGCGCCAGCACCGGGTAAAGACACGCACAGATCACATCTTCCTAACAGGAGCATTACGTCACTTTGGCCGCGTCAGCCACATTTGCTGTTTTGATTTGTCATTGAGTTATATTCTATCATTTATCAATGATTGTGATCAGACAAGTAAGGGTGTGTGTGTGTGTGAAACGTCTGAATAGACGTAAAACTTCTACGCTTGCTTGGTTATACTCTTTTGGTTATGTCATCACCTATGAATTTACAAGTGCAGGGGGCACAGGTGTGACTCTGGTTCCTGTGCCAACGAAGACGGCCAGATGTCACAGTGATATCAAGGGGAGACGTCCCTTTGACGTACCTGCTATTCATGGAATCTCAGACTGTGTGGCACGGGGCTAAGCCGAGAACCCCATCATGATATTTTCATTGACATTTCTGCAATGGCGAAGGGCTAAGCCGAGAACCCTACGTGGTTTATATAAAACTGTATTGTTGCCGCAATCTGAACCTATTTCTACTGGGAACTTTGTGACGGTGTTCATGATCATGATCGGATTTGACACTATTCTTCGTTTGGATTTGGATACTACTTCAATGTGGACGACGATTTATTATATTCCATGTGACATGTCATGCTGATGTTTTAAGGGAATCAGGTCCCAACAGACCACTGTATGGTCTTGTCTTTTCTAAGTGTGACCTCCATGGTGTCCCCGACATGGTGCCATGGACCCTCTTGAGGGATCCCTTTTCAGACAGGGGTTGGTTATGCCTGGCTAAGACCCCAGGGCTCAAGCCCTTGAATTTAGCCGCGGCACTCCGCGGCTAGATTTTCTACAGGGATTTTAGCCAAGGCATTCTGAGGGATTCTAGCTAGAGCATTGGTTTCAACGTTGACGGTAGGCCAAGCGATTTTATTTTCATGAAGCTTTCATATGTTTCTTGTCAGGCCAAGGGAATTTATCTTTGGTATCTTTTAGAAAATTGTCATATGTTTAATCTAAGGCCATGGGATTTTATCCTAGTGACCCTGGGGATTCCAAAACCTCAAGCCTTGGATTTTATTTCCTATTGCAAATTATGCAAATATATATAGACAAATCAGGCAACGGTTGTGACCCACGAAGATCTTAGCCACTATCGCTCAAATCTGGCAGCGAGCCCTTCGGGATGTCCCGCACCAAAGCCAAGAACTCCTCAGCAATCTGAACCATCTGACTGCCCCACACAGTGCACATAAATGAAAAGCATCTGAGGTAGCTGAAATATAAATTTCACTCCGAGATCTCTAGGAGATACGTATAAAAAACCATCAACGCCCTCCCAAACATACAAAGCTAGTGGCTCGAAAAATCAAAAGGTAATACCTGTTGAGCTTCCTTCCTGGAATGGCTTGAGGTTTTGGGGATTGGCAATGTACATCTATATAAGCATACGCCAAAGTATGTATTGTTGGGCCCGATGTTTAGGATTGGGAATTCAAGTCACAATTTGCAATCAAAGCCTGAAACCAAACGTATCAAAACAATTCTTCTGGGTCACCCATACCCAATGTCAATCACCCAAGCATCTCGGGCTAAAAGCCACATGGCTTGGGGTCTTGGGGACTGGTGAAATAAATTTATGTAGACGTATGCCAAAATACCTATTGTTGTGCCAAATGTTCAAAACTGGCGCGTAGGTCACCCAAACGCAACATCGATCACCTAATAGCCTCAGGCTAAAACCCAAGTGGCCTGAGGTTTTGGGTCTTGGCAGATGTAAACCTATATCAGATAAACGCCAAAGTATCTATTGTTGTGCCAG